AACATTTCAAAAGACATCCCCAAAAAGAAGCCCAGATAGATTCGGGTAATGGGCGTTGGGGTTTTCTTAAAATGTCCAGATCTGAAAGCAACGATGACTCTAACTTGGCATCCCACTTTAATCAGTGGTCTGGGGTGCACGGACAGAGTTTGAAAGACCACAAAAAACGAAGCCTAAGCAGTGCAGTAAGCCAAACCACAAGAACTCCACAAACATCGTGTTTTGGCAGGTAAGGGGCCTGGTGGCCTTGTGCCCGCCTGGCAAAACCCAAGGCCACAGGGCAAATCAGTGCTGGTTGCCGCTGGGCCGGCTCTGCCTCGTGGAGACCCAGTGTATCTGGGCAGCTCTGTGCTTCGTAGGGGTTTCAGGGGCTGGTTTTTCAGAAGTAGGTCCCCAGGCCTTTCTGTGAGGCAGTGGAGGACTTCCATCTCCAGCCTTTGGGGTCGCAGCGGAGCACATTAACGATCTGCACCCCTCTGGGACCCTCAGAACAGAAGCTCGGGGAAAGGTGCTGTCTCGCCTACCCTGCATCTTCAGCACATGCCTGGCTCATTTCTGAAAAACCACTGCCATCAAGTCAATTCTGGCTCCTAGAGACCCTACCGGGCAGGGGAGAACTGCTCCTGAGAGTGTCTGAGACTGTAACACTATGGGAGCAGACAGCCTCATCTTTCTCCCTAGCAGCAGCTGGTGGGTTTGAACCTTGACCTGGAAGGTAGCAGTCCAATGCTTAACCCAACATGCCCACCAAGGCTCTTTGCCTGGCACATCGTAAGCATTAAATACATTTTGGTTGGATGAATGAGTGTTGAGTTAATATACCGTGCAGGAATGCAGCTTTGAAAAATCAAGAGTTCAAGGAGAGATCCAGTTTCAGGTATGATTTTAACATGGAATATTATCCTTTCCACTGTTTATGCCTCAAATAGCACTCAAATTATCTTTTCTTTCTCAAGAACAAAATGCACCAATACAGTATAAATGACACTTGATCCAGATTAAGAAGACTATAAGGGAAAAAAGAAAGCACACAAAAAACTGAGATTAAGAAGCTATCATGCTACCTTGTCCCAGCCAGCAACAATGGGATCTGCACATGTGATAACACTTCTCAAAACTGTCTGCTTCCTTTGGCTTCTAGTTCAGCCAGGTAAGCGTTCTTTCGGGCTACGGACCTTAGTGGTTTTTATTTCAGGTAGCCAAGAGCCTATATTTTCCTCACCTTCTCCCTTTACTGCATCTAGTCAAGGGCGGCTCACAGTGACCCTATAGGACAGGAGTCAGCTTCCGAGACTGTATGGTTTACAGGAATTGAAAGCCCCGTCTTTCTCGCAATCCTCTCTCTTACTCCTCCCAAACTTTCTCACCACTCACCTGGGTGGGGGTTTTCTTGGTTATTTTTTTACCAGAATTCCTTTTGGTTAAAAGCCCACCCCTGCCCTCCAGCCCCATGTGTAAGCATCTTGCCTCTAAATACTGTCCTCTCCGATTTTATCGAAGCTTCATCTCCTTGCAGCAGAGGCCTGGTGTACCTCCTGAAACTAAATTAGTTGTGCTCCATGTACATGAAAATAAAATCATTTGAACCACCAAACCAACCAACACCCTTCACCCCTTCTGCCACTTGCTCACCAGAATATACCTTCTGGGACCATTCACCCCTATCATCGTCCTTAAAAAACAAACGTACTGACTTGGACTCAATCCCAACTCATACACAGCCCTCCAGGAGAGGGTAAAACTGTCTCTCTGGGTTTTTGAGCTTGTAACTCTTTATGGGAGTCGAAGGCCTCGTCTTTGCCCCTTGGAGCGGCCGGTGGTTTTGAACTACTGACCTCGTGGTTAGCAGCTCAGCCAGTAACCACTATGCCACTATCATCCTCCTGGCACCTGCATTTTCCAAGATGGATTTTTCTACCCCTGAGCTTTTCCTTCCCAGGTCCAGAAATCCTAAAGCACGCTTAAACTGAATTGCTCTGCTTCCCCAGGCTAAACAAGCTCAATGAATGAGCGACACACGATGGGCAGACTTGGCTCTTCTTGTCATAACAGTACTCTAACCTGCTAAACCCTTTGGATGTGCGTTTTCAGGGAGTAGGGAGAAGGAAGGAATGTTTTCTAAATACTTGATGTAGATGATTTCATTTTAGGAGGCAGGCATTTATTACCTCCACTTACAAGTGAGAAAACTGCATCTAAAAGGTTAAGTGACCCATGACACGTGGCTGAAGTGTAAGCTCAGGCCTTTCTGACCTCTCCCAACCCAATGGCCGTCCACCATATACACTGTCCGTCCCCCATTTGTTTCCATCCTGCAGTCAAGCAGCCGTTTCCTAGAGATTCAGGATTTCAAGGGGAGGGCAGATCTTTGACCTCTGGGGCACCATCTCCACCTGCCCAGGCTTCGAGTCCTTCAGCTAATCAGCCTTCAGACAAGCTAGAACATCACCTTGTCTCTTCCCAGCAGAAAGCAATGCCTTCCTCTCCTATGTGCCTTCCTCTCCTATGTGCCTCCCTCAACAGCTACTTCTTGCCAACAGAATTTCAAGAGTTCCCATTTGCGAAGGCCTTACTCAGAAGACGCTAATGGTCCAAAAAGTTTGCATCAGTGTAGGCTCTTCTCAATAAAGTTCAAGGCTGATGCAACATTTCCCAGCTTCAAACATCACAGCTAAAATAACCAGAACACAGAGCAGTTGAAAAATTACGCAAGACAATGCTGCATTTTTACTCCCTTGCATCTGCTCTACGGGTCTCCGGTGAGTCACTGTCTTTTGTGTTCAGTCATCATTAGAGGAACTGCTGTATTCCACCCTAAGTCATTTTATTTTATGTTTTGAAGCAAAGCTCTGCAATAAAACAGGGCCTTTCACCCCACCCCACCCTACCCAAGCAGATGAAGTATTGACCCCCTAAGTCTCTTCTTAAGATGTCGCATGGCTCCAATTGTCATCGCTGTCAGTTTACACAGAGGAAGAGGCGTGCGTGGTAGGGATGTGGGGCACTTACCTATTCATCAACAACAAACTGAGGAAATCCTACCAGATGCCAGGAATTGGGACCCAAAAGGGAGCAAGAACTTTTCCCTTCCTTGTTGCCTGATGGAAAGGAAGCCAAAGAAATCATTACCAAACTGTCCAAGGTCATAGTGGAGGTGTGGGCCAGTCTGGAAAACTTCCTGGAAGAGGCACTTATAAATGACTGTGAACACATATAAGCACCTGTCTGTTGGCGTAGTGAGTTACGTGTTCGGCTGCTGACCACAAGGTCCGACTCTCGAAGGTAAATTACAGGAAGGTAAATGAGGCTTTCTGCTCCCATAAAAAGTTAGTCTCAGAAACCCACAGAGGCAGTTAAACTCTGTCCTATAAGGTCCCCCTATGAGTTGGAATTGACTTGGCGGCAGTGAGTTTGGTTATGAGGGAGGTCTCTGTGCTCTCGTTGCAAAATAACCCGATATGACTCAACCCCATCCCCTGAAAGGGGATAAGCTTTACATGGCAGCAGTCAAGTCGAAAGGTTTAATTTCAAGGCCAAATTGTCTTGACTCCCGGTCCTCAATTACAACCCTGGCACATGCTCTCTGGAGCCCAAGTTTCCGGAGTTCCACATCTTCTGTTCTAGATGGCGTCTTCTCAGATGTCACTAGACTAGGATTAAATGTGATAAGCCAACTTGTCAAAAAGCTTAATCGTTTTCCTAACTGGAAACAAATAACCCAAGCCGAGGTTCCAAAAGACAAACAAAAGCAAAACTCACTTTCATGCAATAGAGTGAAAGGTCTCTTTTGGAGTCACCAGAAGAACTAGGACAAAAAGAGAAACAGAAGGCTACTTGGGGGCTCTAGCCTCCAGATGATGAGCACCAAACACACTGCAATAGTAAACAAACAAGCCTGGAGCCAGGGGCTGACTTGGTGATCTGGCAAAACACCACAACCTTAACCTCAGGAATCTCCCCCACCCCCAATTCATTATTTCCCCAAGTCCCAGCAGCTGGCAGTTCCAGTTGTTTGTTTGCGTGTTTGTGAATTTATTCATTTGGCTAGTTCATGGGTCTATTGCTTGTAAATTATAACCCACGGCGTGCCTTTCAAAGAAACGTAGGTTCATAGGCAAACGAAAGCAACTATGGATAAAAAGTCCCATGAAAGTCAGGCAAAGCATCAGAAACATCCCCGCCTGGGTTTACTGTCAGGATCTATTACTCCTTCACGCTACTCCTGTGGATTGAAAGCTCAAACGAATGGTACAGCTGGCCCACTGCAGGCGCGGCTCAGAGGCATGGCGCGTGCAGGCCAATTTACCTGCCTCGGCCAAGCAGCTGACCTGGAAATGGGGCTACAGACCCTGTTCACTTTCGCTTTGCTGCCCCAGCAAGCTGGCTCTAAATCCATGCTTCCATTTGGCCCAGCACACCCTCACCCCCACCTCTCAGACTCCCAGCCCCAAGGAGGGAGAGTCAACAACCCCAAAGAGAAGGCTGGCCACAGCCAGAAGGGGATCCCGGGAGCCTTCTAAACTACTCCCCCCCACCCCCACCCCCAGCCGGGGTGGACCTGGAATCCAACCCCTCTCTCGACGCGAAGCCCCTTTCCTGGGCTGGATGTCCCACCCAGTCTGGCCCTGCGGGGGGCGGGGGGGTGGGCGGAGGGGGGCACCCTTAGCACCTCTCACCCCTGGCCCCGGGGCTTCGGATCCCACTCCGGGCCGGAGGGCGGCCTGCCCCTAACCTCAGCCCCGGGGAACTGCCGTCCACCATCGGTCCTGGGGCAAGGGACCCCACTTCCACCGTGGCGGCTGCGGTCCCCTCCCTGGCCCCTGCGGACTCCGCGCTCGCTGGGCCCCGGGGCCCTGACCCAGACCCTCGGCCGCGCCCGAGTCCTCCTGGCCTGGCCGCCGCCCCCAGTCCAGCCCCCGCCGGGTTTGCCCTGACCGCCCGCGCCCGCAGCCCCCACGCGGCCCGGAGCCGCCCGCCCGCCCGTCCGGCGGGCCGCGCACCGTGTGGGACTGCAGGCTCTGGCTCGCCTCGATCGCTGCTGTCAGCGGCACCGTGTCGTCCAGCAGCACCTTGCCGGCCGGCGGCTTCTCCATGAAAGCCATCTCGGGACGCCCGGCCGCCGCCGCCTCACAGGAGAGGCAGGAACCGGAGGCGTCGGCTCCCGCCGCCCGCCCGGCTCCGTCGCTGCCGCCGCCGCTGTCAACACGCGCCGCCCCACGCGCCGCCACCACCCGCAGGACCCGCTGGGTCCTAGCGCCCATCCCTCCCGCCGACGCTGTCAATCCTCGCCGCCGCTCCTTCCGGGTCCTAGTGCCGACGGATCATGTGTGCGCACTACTTCCGCCCTGAGGCTCCATCAACAGCTACCTAGGCAGTCACACAGCAGACTCAGTATTCTTAGCCATAGGCCTTGGACCTGCGAACGTGTCAAATCCGAAGACACCATGCCCGGAGCTCCGAGATCCAGGATCCTTCTGGCTCAGAGACTCCCAAACCAAGCCTCAGAAGCTGGAACTGTCAGACTCCGAAATCCTTAAATGTGGACCTCTCCCACCCAGTCTCTCCAGGCCCAAGGACCTGGGACCTCAGAAAAAGGGTGCTCAGGATTGGACTTCCCAATGCGAACCCTGTGTACCCAGAGACTGTCTGATGAAACCTTGACAGAGACCCTGGTACCTGGCTCATCACATTTGAGAATTTGAGATAGACCCTTAGACCCAAGCTCTCAGAACTGAGAACCCTAAACATTGGGCCTTGGTCCAGAGACTAGGCCTCTACCCTTGGCCTAGCTCTGAGCTCACCCCACAAGGCCTTTAGACCCCTGAACCTTCAGCCAAGTTCCTTCAGATGTGGAGTCCCAAGTGCCACTGTAACAATGCCAAGAAATTCAACAAGAGAGTTTTAAAACCTTGGGATCTGCTGTTTACACTCTGTCTGCTCCATACCCTGTCTGCTCCCCGAAGTGCAATCCTAGTCCCCCCACCCCCGCCCCTGCCTTCCCCACACAGAAACCTCACCCTCACTGTCTCTCCCAGAGTAGCATCCCCAAACTGTGGGGCGAGTTGGACCTGTATCTCCAGGAGTCTGACATTCAAGTTGGTTAATTTATTCGAAGTCACGTAACTGGTGAATGTGACTCCTTCTCTGAGCCCTGGCTCTCCCATCTGCAAAACAGAAGAACGCTTATCTGGAAAGTTTGATTTAAAGATTGCCATAGGGTAGGAAGAGATTTAGCACATATGAAAAATTCACACCATACTAGTTTGTTCCTTCCCTTATAGGCCACAGAATAGAGGATTTCTAACCCATACATTTGTCTGTGGTGCTATAGTGGTTACACATGTGAGCTGCTACCTGAAAGGTCAGCAGTTTGAAAGATGAGGCTTCCACCGCCCGTCAAGAGGTACAGTGTCAGAAACCTGTGAGTTGGAATCGACTCAATGTCAGTGAGAGTGAGAAACTACTGGATTGCAGACAGCAAGGGACTATAATTATTGGTAGCCCCACCACCACCACCACCATTTGACATCACAGCCAAGGCCTGGATTATATCGCAAAGGTACCTACCTTCCCCGGGACTCAAGGTTAATGGGATTGTTGCACAACCCCAGTGGCCATGACTCATGAAAAGGGGACGTAAAGAAGGAAATGCTGAAGTCCGTGATTCCATCCTCCAGATTATCAGCACATTTCCCACACTCCATTCTTCTCCCAACATGTTTAAAAGTGGCAGTCTCTTAAAGCCATATGCCATTTAGGGACGATTCAACCTAATACTTCCGTTTGTGTGTGAGAGAGACAGAGTTTTGCTTTTAGACAAATGGATCGTTTTGTTGCCAGAAACACAGAAACTAAAGCCTGCTTTTATCACCTACTCCTATCCTGCTTTTATCACCTCCTCCTATCATGATGTGGACTAAAAGAAGCTCTTCTCACATATTGCTGGTGGGAGCATTGATTGATCCAACTTTTTCTGAAAGTTGGCAATTTGCTATGGATTGAATTGTGTCCTCCCAAAAATATGTGTTATAATTCCTAATCCCAGAAATCCTAACCACAAACATGAGTTATAATCCCCACTTGAGAAGTTGTTAATCGGTCAGGAATAATGTGGGGTGTGTCAAGTCCAACTCTTTGGAGGCGTAAAGAGATGACAAGCAAGCAAGTCAAGATGGGGAGGTGAGAGATGCCAAGCCCCCTCAAGACTGCTCGCAAGCCCCCTCAAAAGAGCCTTTCTCTAAAGCCAGCACCCTGGATTTGGACTTTTAACCTCCTAAATTGTGAGAAAATACATTCCTGTTAGCTAAAATCACCCACTTGTATTTCTGTTAGAGCAGCACAGGATGACTAAAACAGGAGTTATCCAT